CCCCCAATCGTTGTGGGTGTGTTTAGATGTTCGTATTATATATAACAAAAATTGATGGAATGATTCAACTTCTTTGGAGAATTGAGATTTTTATTATTTGGAAAAGGCTCCAACCAACGGCTCTTGTAGTGAGACTCAACCATCCATTTTTCCATTTATTTACATAGAATAGTATGAGGTATACCGAAAATTAAAATTGAAGATAGGCGAAACATTTTTGCTCAGCAATTTATTTTGCCAAGCATATGCTGGACTTGAGAATATTTCAAGTTTATCCTGGCTTATGAATAAAAAATACTCATTTACATATATTTACATATAATTTAAACATACATAATACAAATACAAAAATATATGATATAAAATGTATAATATCAAGATAATGTTATTAATAATAATAATAAAATTTACGTATCATATATAATGTATTATTATTTTATTTATTTTATATATAAATAAGTATTTTTTATTCGTGAACTAAGATAAATTTGAAATATTCCCACGTCTAGCATAGGATTGGCGAAATATGATTTTGAAAAATTGCGATATTCAACTCTCAAAAACCAAAAATCCATGAGATCATTTATTTCATTAAAATAATTAATTAACAAATAATTTCTTATTCGATTCAAACAGTTATTTTAGCCTTCATCACCAACATATGAAGATCGAAAAATTCAATAACTCATGACAACGCAGTAAATAAAGTAATTTATAATTTTTTCCGGAAACCCATAGGGACTAACTTTTGGATGTTATTGACTTCCGACATACCTTAATGATCCAGAAAGGTCATTTGACTTCACCTTTGCCTACTTCAATCTTAGGGAAGTATTCTGCCGATGGCAATTCACAGTTATCGCCGATATGCCGCGGGAATTGACAAGAATGTCAAGTTGTCTCTCATTATCATTAAAAAATCCATCAGAAATCGTTGAACCAAGCTGAAGCCAATCGAGTGAACTTTTCGAGGCGTGAAAGGTCACCCCGATTCTCCACACCCGAATGGCTCAATGTTGATAATTTTTTCTACACGTGCAACATTGCCAACATTGTTATCACCAGCGACTCATTGATTTATTTTGACTCGGTAATGTCAATATTAAACCGAATATCGTTGATGGGGTAAAGGTCAAGCGTGGCGAGACTGCGCAAGCTCTCGACTGCCCGGGAAGCGGAAGTACACGGCTCATATTCGAGTCGACCTTGATACTCTGCCTGGAATAAGGACTCGAGTGCAGCAGTAAAGTTATTGCATAATGAAAGAAGAATGATGGGAAACCGTAGAATGAAAATTTTATCGGAGTCTAGGGGTGCTGCAAGGTGACGATTATTTTTTCACATGAACATTTTTCGATTTCAGACGGCCCTGAGTATATTTTTTCAAGAAGCAGCCATACCGTCCTGTCCGCAAGGGCCTGGCACACACTTCGGCCAGGTGAGTGTCCACATCATGTGCACTAACGCTGATAAACTGATTTCAATTGTGGTAATGAGTTGACGTTGTAATGAGGGACTGTGAGAACCACTGGGTGGCAGACAGCCGTTAGGTGGGTTACTATTCTCGTCTGGTATTCCGATAAGCCTCGTGCCAAATCTAACGTCGACAATGAGGCTAGATAGACAACCGAACTGTCTCAGTATTCGGCTGTAATTGATTGAATTCATTTCTTTTTGAATATGTCGATTGCAGGAGGGACTCGACGCCTGCTGACTAGGGGACTCCCCTGATTTCTTATTTGATTTGAAATTGCGAGGGGGTGATCGACACTTTGTGGGGGTCATTCAATTCTCTGGGTTGAAATTGAACTAGACTGGGGATCTGGGGTGGTGAGGAAGAAAAAGGTGTTGCGGGGATTTTTGACGAGTTCGAACAATAGACGAAAGATTGAGATCAAGCGGGCGGACATGTTGAGAGTCTCTACGAATTTAAAGAGATGGCGGCAAAAGATACGTTGTAAATCATCTTTCTGCTCTTGTTTTGATCATTCGTCAGTTAAATGTACCACTTGTTCGTGTTTCCTCGTTAATTGAGCCTGAGGGTACCAATGTCAGTGATTGTGATTTTTTCATGCGTAATATATGATTTTTACCTTCAATTTCAATTACAGCTGATCTGTCGCGGCATTCTGGACTAATTGATTGAATTTATTTCTTTTTGAATGTGTCAATTGCTGCAGGGAATCGATGTTTATTGATTGTGGCCTGCTTCCACTAGGAAATATTACCATTTCAAGATGATTATCAATGAAAATTTGTTGCCATTGCGATGAAAATATCCGGATCAGGCAGAACTATCGTGCAGTTATCTTTAAAAAATTAATTTGTTGTCATTCGTTATCATTGACAAAGCTAATCAGTTGAATTGTCAATGAAATCAAGTATAAAGAGGTTGAATATTACTCCTAGCAAGGCAGTGTACAAATCATGTATCTGATCTACATTATCTTTTCTTCTCATCTCAGTCGAAATATTATTAGTATTTTTTCCACGTAGTATCCAGTGTAAATACAATTATCGTGTTATATCATCGCATACGTCGCAATGTATGCAACAATTATGATTTACTATTATTATTTTAATGTTTCGAAGGTACTCGGGGAATAGCCAACTGATAAATGCTCTCGGGTTGTCCCTTGGTCTTTGATTGAAATGAAAAATTTAAGAAATCGTTAGACTACTTATGCGAATATCATTATGTTTACAATTATTATTGTTTATTTTACTATTGAAAGATAATATTCATGGATATAATTAAAAGACGAGAGGAAAAATGTTGTCTGAAAGAAATAATTAATCGTGGGGCTTTGATTATCGAATTTCTTTTATAATTTACTACGAATGTACAAAAGTAATGAATTAATGGAGTTATGGTTCGAGAGTGCTCAATTCATATTTACGATAGCTAATAAATAAAACTAAAATATCCCAAGGATTATTAAATGTGCAAAGAAAATCTGTTGATTCCGCTTTATCTGCGGAATATTCTCTATCTCCCTTGGGCTATTGAAACTCGTAAAATTTACCTGATTCTCTAAATGAATGTTACGTACATTTAGATCGTAAAAACAACTATCTGATCGACTAGTGTCTACCAGTACAGAAAATTATTACAAGTCGATATATTGACCGGTTTGGTCACGCCTACTTTTACAAATCAGTTTATTTGCTTCCATTGCATGTTTTCATGAAAATATAGACTGTGACATATCCAATGATACATAAGTTGTTATTTTATTTACAGATAACACCTTGCAACACACCAGCAACACCTCCCAATTTTCCGGATGCTTTACTAGCTTTTTCGAAGATGTCTGCTGGTGAAAAAACACCATCGGGTGGGTTTTTATAATTATTTGAAATAGTAATTATTTTTTGTAAACTTTATTAAAGTTTTCCAATGGATATCTGTCACTCGTCAAACTTTATTCAGAGATTTTATCAAAAAACATTCTTTTGAATTTCTATAAAGTAAATTATTTATTTATTTATTTTATTTATTCTATTTATTATTATTTACAATTGAACAAATGATAAATTTAGGAAATGATTTTCCTCGATGAATTATTTCATTAGGATTTCCTGCGTCAGGAAAATTTCTAGACATGAGTTTTCCACATTTTTTTTCTTGAATTTTGAAATGAGAGGATAGGAAAAACTAGGAAAATTAACAACGGAAAATTACTACAGCTAAAATCTCAGAGGAATTAAATTTTTTCTAGATGAAAAAAATTCTACAGAAAATTTGAGCCCCGGAATTTTTACTAAAAATATCACAATACTATCATTTGTAAAAAAATCAAATTCCATTAATTTTTTTCGATAAAATATTTTCCTCTGAACATTCCATTAAAAAAACGCGCAGATAAGTTGCGGAATTTTTCAATAGAATCAGTCAATAACTAGTATAAAATTCAACAGAATTCTCTATCGAATTCCCCAAGTTTTTCTATAAAAATTTTTCGCACGTGAGCAGTTATTCCGGCCGTTAATTATCGCAATAATTGAGGGTTTTATCTTGCTTCAGGCATGTCACCGAGTCAAAATGGCCAACAGACCACACCAACGAGTATTCAACACCACGGTGTGAGGTGTAGTGTCTCGGGTGGCACCCAGCAACAGACACAGAGTCAACAGCAATTTGGATTGGGCGAGCCACAGAGATAAAACGGACTCAGCCGTATTGGGTGTTTAGCATTGTCATAGAATTCGCTGATGAAACTATGACACCTGTTGTGTCAACAAAAAAAAAAAATCATCAAGATAATAGCTAATGGAACGAATGAGCCACGGGGTTTATTTATCTCTTCTCCGAGTGAATCTTGCGAACTTTTGGGGGACTCGATGCCCTAGAGGAAGGGATGACGTTCTGTGGATTACGAAATTTGGTTTCAGTTCAATGTCCTTTGGTTTTTTTTCCTGCAGTTGTTCAGAGCTGACTCCCCTGATTTATTTTTTTTATTTGAAATTGCGAGGGGGTGATCGACACTTATGGGGGTCATTCCATTCTCTGGGTTGAAGTTGAACTAGACTGGGGATCTGGGATGATGGGGGAGGAAAGGGTGTTGCGTGGATTTTTGACGAGCTCGAACAATAGACGAAAGATTGAGATCAAGCGTGTGGACATGTTGAGAGTCTTTACGAATTTAAAGAGATAGTGACAAAAGATGTTGTAAATCATCTTTCTGCTCTTGTTTTGTTCAATCGTCAGTCAAATGTACCATAACTTGTTCGTGTTTCCTCGTTAATTGAGTCTGAGGGTACCAATGAGAGTGATTGTGATTTTTTCATGCGTAATATATGATTTTTACCTTCAATTTCAATTACAGCTGATCTGTCCCGACATTCTGCACTAATTGATTGAATTTATTTCTTTTTGAATGTGTCAATTGCTGCAGGGAATCGATGTTTATTGATAGTGGCCTGCTTCCACTAGGAAATATTACTATTTCAAGATGATTATCAATGAAAATTTGTTGCCATTACGAAGAAAATATCCGGATCAGGCAAAACTATCGTGCAGTTATCTTTAAAAAATTAATTTGTTGTCATCCGTTATCATTGACAAAGCTAATCAATTGAATTGTGAATGAAATCAAGTATAAAGAGGTTGAATATTACTCCTAGCAAGGCAGTGTACAAATCATGTATCTGATCTACATTATCTTTTCTTCTCATCTCAATCGAAATATTATTAGTATTTTTTCCACGTAATATCCAGTGTAAATACAATTATCGTGTTATATCATGGCATACGTCGCAATGTATGCAACAATTATGATTTACTATTATTTTATTGTTTCGAAGGTAGTCGGGGAATAGCCAACTGATAAATGCTCTCGGGTTGTCCCTTGGTTTTTGATTGAAATGAAAAATTGAAGAAATCGTTAGACTACTTATACGACTATAATTATGTTTACAATTATTATTGTTTATTTTACTATTGAAAGATAATATTCATGTACATAATTATAAGACAAGAGGAAAAATGTTGTCTGAAATAAATAATTAATAATGGTGCTTTCATACATTCGCATTTTTTATAGGTACATACATAATACTTTGGTTATCGAATTTTTTTTACTTATCAGTCACTAGAAATGTACAAAAGTAATGAAGTAATGGAATCATTCGATTTACATCACGTCCCGTGGAAGTGGTAACATTATTTACATGAATTAGGGAGACTCAACTCCACGTCCTAGCCCAGTCCATCTGTCTGGCACTGGGAGAAAGTATCTGTGCATCGCCGCAATGAATCTCGCCCGATATTCTTCGGGGGATACTATCGTTGGCAGTTTACCCTGTCCACCCAGGATTCCAGATTTCTTCACCATTGTTTCCAGCTTTTTGTCCCACGTGAAGGTTCTTATGTAGTCTGAAAGTATGAAGGAGTAATACATTAGCAATTTGCTTTAAATGGGTTCTCTTTTTTAAATTCTTATTTCACTATTCTCTTCTTCTATTTTCACATGTCATAGAACTGTCATCAATGGAAATGTCATCGAAATTTTGCGTATTGTTTCGTTGTGTCAAATGATTCTACATTCAGACCCTCTCAAGACTCGAATTCGTTTTCAGCCCGGGTTTAATCAAGGCTCAATCAAGGTTTAATCAGTGTATAGCCGGGATTTAATCAGGGTGTATTCAGGATTTAGCCAGAGTTTAACCCAGGTTCTGTCAGAAGTTAGTCGGGACCATGAACCAATATGAATAAGTATTCAACATAATAAACTGGTACCTGAGTTTAATAGAGAGAGAGATTTTGATATAAAAAGCTCATGATGGTATTGTGTAGCTTGATAAGCAATGATGCTGTTCTCACCATTTTTCAACTTGATTAAGAAGCCATTGAACTATACTTTCCAAGCCCTGATTTAATTGCTATTACTGATGATTCTTTCAGTAATCATGAAAAACCCGATTTTCTCTTTCAAATCGCATAAACGAGGTGCTGTAACTCAACAACGAATTGTGCGACCCCCATCATATTCTGACAGAATCAAGAGGGTATTGTTATCAATTTTTTGAGCCATGACTAATTCCATTTTGATGGCAATTTTTTGAGTGATCGTTGAAAAATCAATTTTTGAAAAAATATCAATTTTTTAGAATCTGTATGAATGAATATGAATATGAGGAGTTTATTAAAGTCTATATTCGTGAAAACAAAGAATTGGAAACTTTAATTTGAGCTATTAAAAAGCTTCCAGTCAGAAGCAAAAAGAAAAACAAGTGTACAATTGCGTTTTTTTATAAATAAGTACAGTTATTCTTGCTAATAAATTAGCAATTTGTTCTCGAATGGGTTCTCATTTTTTGCAATTTTCATTTCCCTACATTCTTCTCGTATTTCTGCATGTCGTAATACTCCATTATTAAATTCGATTGATCTCTTATAACAGAATAATCAATTTTTTCCTAAAAAAATTAAGGAAAAAGACCACATACAAACAAAAACCGTAAAATCGAAAGAGCACCCTTTCAGAACAAAAAAACAAAACAAAACCCCCTACTACTCACCAATAATCCCCAGCACAAGTTCCCCAGACTTCGGTTCAAGCCCCACCAGCAACGAGTAATCCATAACCGAGTTATCAGCCAGGAACTTCGTGTCCTGCTCAATCGCCTTATTGAGTACGGCCTTGGAATGGGGCCTGATGTACAGCGGTGAATCGCAGCTCATATTCAGCAGGTTCTCGTCCATGAGTACCAGTTCACCCTCATGGGCAATGTCCTCAGGATTGACCAGTCGATTCCTCACCGAGCCCTTGAGATCGAACTTGTCAGTGATGGTCCTGTCGTAGAACAAATTCTCCATGACGAGCACGCTAGTTCGCAACGCAGCATTGGTCGTATTATTCTTGAACGAGACCCTGTAGACCCCGACGATCTTCCCGAGGAGCGTCGGCTGCTTCGTCTGCTGGCACTTCTCCATGTACGCGAAATAATTGGGCGCAAAATCCAGGAAAATTTGCATCTCCATTCTCGACATTTCCTTGAGGATAAACCGGTCGTCCCGAGTTTTGCAGAAGGTACTTCCGCTCTTGCCACCTCTGGCCGCCCACTGAACGCTTCTGCAGAGACTCCTGGTGAAGCCGTCCTCACCACAGGGCAGAACACTCTCCCGCAGCGCTGCGAACTGCGCAGCGAAGTAGATCCTACAGTAGAAATTGGTCGTGGCGTCAGCAAACTGCACCTCGATGTAGTTCTGCTGTTTTATCGCTCTCTTGTCGTCGTCGATATCCCCCTGGGGGCCACCCTGAGGGTTCCCATCAGCCGTGATGCTCCTCTCGATCTCGTTGGGGCTCGCTGGACTGGGGCTGGCGCCCCGCAGGAAGGAGAGGACGGAGGGCCTCTTGAACTCCCCGGACTGCGTCGCCTCCAGAACGGCCTCCTTGCTCTCCACAAACTTACGTTTGTTCAGGGGACTCGAGCTCTGGTCGCTCTTCACCTGGGGGATCTCCTGGAGGTGAGGACAACGTTACCGTCTTTTGCAGGGTCGTGGCACGGGGGATAATAGGGGTCAGACTCATCTTCAGAATGATTTTTTGGTGATTTTGGACAAATGAAACAGTGAAAACGAGGTTCTAGGAATCTTTTCCCCGAGACCGAATTTTCCGGACCAAATTTCTCAGAAAAAAATTCCTGCGGACAAAATTCGACAGACAGAATTTCTTTTGAAGTCGCACTCGTATAACCGGCACGAGGAAAGTTAGCGGTGGGGATGGGGATATCAGTTTAACTGTATTATCTATTAACTAAATTATCTCGAAAATTTGAATTTCCAGTTAGCATAGGAGTGAATTTTCTCTAATCACTGGCTTTGGCCGTGATTAGAAATGGCAGAATATCCTTTTAAATAAAATCAGTGAGGCATAAACATTTTTTTCATATTTTTTTGTCATTTCGCGTTATGACAAAATAGTATTTTTCCGGCCTGTTGCGATGGGGTTTTTTACTCGTGTGGCGTTGGCCTCCGATTTTCAAGATTTCGAGTTTGGGAAGTATGTAATACCAATTCCCAGACGAGAAATCGTGAGAAGCAGTACAGAAAAATATTGTTCGTCATAGGGCCTAAAAAACTTTTCTAACTCTTATGACTGCAGCCCTCCCCTTCGGCTCGATCCGCAAACTCATATTCACCGGAAAAGTTTTTTTCGGCCTAATGACGAAATACACTATTTAATGAGTGTTTTTGGATGTTATACTAAAAAATCGAATTTGACCGGCGCGATGCCGTGGCCGCGAGTAACGAAGGGTTAAATATACGAGGATAAAAAAATTCACCTGATTTTAATTTCGAGTAAAACTAATAATTGCAAAAAAAAGCCAAGACTTTGCATTGAGTCATTATGTTCCGTGTCATCCCTACCTGGAAGGCGTGTTTGTAGTCGTGCGAGTCGAGGGCATAAGCGATGATGGACGACGGCTCGGACTCGTAGACAACGATCGGAACAACTGAGCCAAGCGGCAAGAGATGATGCTCGAGTCCTCCCAGGGGGTTGACAATCGACGAGACACTGGAGGCGGACGGGAGCAGCTGCGAGAGAATCGTCTTCTTCTTCTTCCGCCTGTCCGGCACATCCTCCGAGGACATCGGCAGAACATCCGAGTGCGACCTCTGGTGCATCTTCGGCGAGCCCTGGATGATGACAATGTCCGCAGGATTGGTGTTCTCCTGAATCTCCCCGTCCGAATGCTCAAGGACATCGTTTTGCTGGGCCTCGGGGTGAACAGCGGATATCGCGTCGATGGCGTTGTAGTCCGCGGACATTGGGCTCAAGTCCTCCATCTGGCTCTCGGAGGCCGTGTCCTCAGTGATGTAGCCGTCAGTGTCGATGAGCCCGCTGCTCCCAGCTGTCAGCGACCTCTCCGTGAACCTCCTCGGTCGTTCCTCCTTCTTCTTGCTGGCAATCTCCGTTATCCTGGCGTTCCAATTGAAAACCGCCTCGGATATCAGGCGCTTCAGAATCACCAGGCCATCCTCAATCCTGAACATGAGGTTCTGCACCTGCCGCGCCGAGGCCTTCCCCTCCAGCCGCTTGTTCTCGAGAGTCGGCGACGTCAGCTTCAGCTGGACCTCCTCGATCTTCGTCTTGAAGTACAGCTGATCCTTCGCCACCTGCTGCTTCATCGCGTTGAGGCTCTCGAGCTCAACCTGCAGACCCGTCAGCTTCTCCTTGATCATCGAGAAGACGTCGTCCCCCTTCAGCGCAATCATCTTCACCTCGTCGATGACGTTCGCGTGCTGGGCCGCGTCGTAACTGATGTTTATCAGAGGGGGAGGCAGGGATATCTCCAGGAGCTTGATCTTCGTGTACTTGAAGACAGCCAACATATTCCCCTTCGAGAAGTACTGGTAGTGGTCGTGGTGGAGGGAGTGCTGACACGTCTCCGAGCTTCGGTTCATGTAGACGCTCCCGTGAAATCGCAGCTCCAGGTACTTGGCGAACGACAGGCTCCAGGTGTCCGAGGACATGGGCACGACCGGGGAAACATTTTTGCACTCGACGCACTTGCTCCACATGAGGATCTGGTTGACGTTCTCCTGGCCGAAGGGGTCGTTACTCATTTGGTTCAGGGTTATCTGGAGGCAGCCGCCGTCGTGCGCGAAGCGTCGGCCATGTTGCGCGATCTGCGCACGACAAGATGGCGCCGGGCACTTGTACTCGGTCGTCAGGCAGTAGCGCTCCAGGAATCGCCCCAGGGCGATGTCGTTCCGCCCGTAGAGGTCCATATTCACGACCCAGGGGTTGACGCAGAAGGACGCGGGGGCGTCGTTTGTGTTGTGGGAGAAGCTGCAGAAGAGGACCGGAAGGCGCTGGTGGCTCGCGGGGTCGAGGCAGTCCGGCCAGACTGGGGCGTCGTTCACTTCGGAGATGATCGCCTCCTTCTTCTCCAGGATGACGTTGTTGGTGCGGTTCAGGCGACTCCCGCAGGCACGGAAGTGGGAGAGGAGCGCCTGGACTTCCCTCGTGTCCACTTTGGAGGTCATTTTGGCGAGGGTCAGCGGGTGGCGGGGCTTCAGCCGCAGCTCCGGGGCGTCAGCAACTTGCGGTGGATCTGTCGAGACGCTTGCCCGGGTGCCCTCGACTTTGTCGGAGAACTGGGCGGAGTAGAAGATCTCCTTCGGGAAGAACCTTCGGAGGACGCAGTTCCTTCCGGGCTCGGTCTCCAGGTAGGGAATCGTGAACTTTAGGTAGGGGGAGAAGCTCAGGATCGTGTCGTCCAGGGACTTTTTGAACTTGTTGAGCAGCGGGAGGTCCGCCACGCTGAGGCTCTGGCCGGTGGGACTCGTCCGGTGGATGAGGTCCTCCTCCTCGTTCAGGTACTGGTGGAGGGGGTCGCTCCTGTCTGATATCGATTCACCGTAGACTCGCTTGTCGTCAGGTGGTTTTGGTTTCAGGGACGTCGGCTCTTCGGGGGTTGATGCTGACCTCTCGCAATTGATATCCTTGTCTTGGGGGGCTCCGCTGAATAACTCCAGGGTGTTCTGCTCGGAGCTCGACTCAAGAACGGAGATGTCGTCTACTGAGCCTGTGATCGAGGCGTTCAGGGAGTCTTTTCTGTCAGAAGGGTTCACGTCGTTGTCTTCAGGGGCTTTGGACTTCTGCTTGAACAGCTTCAGTGTGTCGTAGGGGTCGCAGTGGTCTTGCAACATATTGGAAACCCTCTTGAATTTGTCGTTGGTTGCCAGAGCAGAGTCGGCTTTCTCGTTCTTCATGGGAGTGCATTGCCTGCAGGGTTCGTCAGCCTTGACCTTCGCAGGCCCATTCGATGGCCCGTTATCAGACGACTTGCCCTCCTCCAGCCTAGCGTGATCGCCGTCCAGAAAGGAGTTATCGTTCAACGAAGGCGGTCTGGCGAACTCGTCCATCAGGAAGGACTTCTCCAGTCGCCATGAGTAAACAGCGAAGATCATGGTGGACGTGACGTTCTTCACCTTTTTTAGTTCAGCTGGGCTTCCCCCCCTCAGTAAAATAGTGGACCCCAAGTGGGGATTGGCGCAGCCTTCGAAGTACATGAGTGTCTTCACTCCGGTCTTGTTGTTACCAGGGAAATTCCTGAGGTAGAACTTCTTGCAAGTTCCGAGCTTGTACCTCGCGGTGAGCTGTGCGTCGATGGTGTTGACGATCGTCCCCCCAGTGCACCTCGCCACCCTCTCCAGCACCGACAGCTTGACATTCAATACCAAAGTGACTCCGCACTGGCGAAATCTGTCCTGAGCAAGTCTCGACACCGATCTGTGAACAAGAACGATATCGGGGCCAAGAGCCGTTATCCTGGCGACGGTGTGCCCCAGGTACTCGTTCTCCTGCATCATAACGGGCTCCAAGCTCAGCAATTTCCCCTCCACCCTCTGATACATCAGCCCACACTGCAGCAGCAGGATCTTGGGATGCGCTATCATGGCGTCCATCCCCCTGTGCGCAACGTTCTTGCTGCAGACGACCCCCGAGACAATCTCACAGTCGTTTTTAGACCCCCCCGGGGACTTCTTGATCTGCACGTACTGGCGGATGTCCATGTCGTCGGTGTCGTGGTTCAGGTCAGGTCGGAGCTGATCAACTATCTGATGAGCTATCGGGATTACGACGTCCGACCACTTCTGGGAGAGCCCCTCCTTGTTGAGGAGCTGTTTGATAAGGGAGTCCTCGTGCTGCTTGTAGGCAGCTGACAGACTGTTGTAGGCGCTCATCTCGCCGAAGGAGTTCCTGAGGTTGTTGACCTTGTGCCAGCTGATCCTCTCCTTCGTCTCCTGGACGTGGAACAGCGTGTCGTTGAGGACTTCGTCGGAGACGGCTGCGCACTCCTGCGCCCGTTGGTTCACGTCTTTTTGGTCGGTCGGGGTGTCGGGGTCTGGCGGGAAGGCGCTCAAGTCCTCGCACGTCGGGCGCTTCAGGGTGACCGTCGACGCCTCCAGGTTGAGGTCCAGGTAGAAGCTCGAGCTGGACGAGGGGAGACGACCGATTTGGGGCGGCTGAACTTGTCTCGTTGTCTCGCTCTCGGAGTCTGTCGTGGAGTCGTGCTGGGGGATGTTCTTCACCCAGGCGGGCTCCTGTGCGTCGCAGCTGGACTGATTCTCCTCGGAGAAGTTAGTGCTCTGGAGGGAGGACATGCTGATGGGAATGAATAACGAGGCAGTGTCGGTGAAGGAGCTCTCCCCCTGGACTGATTTTATGAAGCCAGCTTCCAGGAGCGCTTGGCCAATGGCCGCTGCTTGAACTCTCGTAGCCGCTTTGTTCTGGGAGATCATCCAGTTGACGAGTTCAACTCCTGTGAAGCAGTTGTAGTAGGTCTTCAGGCGGACCCAGTGGGTTTGGAGAAGAATCGCCTGGGAGGAGTTGAAGAGCTCCTCCCAGATCATCCTGAGGGAGGCGGAGTTCTGGAGGACGATGGAGCGCTCGTGGGGGGAGAGGTAGCTTCCGGAGGATCGGCTCAGGGCGTATTTCTCCTCCATGTAGCCGACGCTGGGCTTGCGGTAGACGGTTGTCTCGTCCTCGGGGATGTGCGTCTTCTGGTGGGGGGAGGGGGTGTCGCTGCCGTATTTCACCTGGAGGTCTTCTTGGAGGGCTTTCAGGTCCGCTGATAGGACACTTCGCATGTCGGAGGATTGGAGGTATGAGAGAACTACTTTGCAGCAGTATGTGCATACTCTCAGGTCTCCTGGAATTGGGATTGATTGGAGAGGGTGAAATCGCTCGAGTGTTGGGCTAATGTTGGCCCAACTATGGCGGGCAACGTTGGGCCAACATTGTCCGCCAGCGACGTAAGGGTCAGAAGGAAGGTCTAGCTTAAGGGTCAGAAGACACTGATATCCTGATTTACTCGGGGCTGGACGCCATGGGTGAGCCGACATTGGCCCGACACTTCCCGTCAGCGTCAGGTCAACGTTGGCAGTGTCAGTGAGAAAAGTAAAATGAGTTAAGGTTGAGAAATAAGGGTCAAAGGCGTATGTATAGCATACTCTCAGGCCTGCCGACATTGGTATTAAATGTGAAAGGTAAATTCACTCGATTGTTGGGCCAATGTTGGTCCAACCATGGCGTACAACGTTGGTCCAGCATTGTCCGTCCGCGTCGGGTCAATATTGGCAGTCAGTGTTGGCCCAACCTCGGCAGCCTCAGTGAAAAAAAACAAACGAGGTAAGGTTGGAAAATAAGGGTCAGGCTTAAGGGCCAGAAGCCCCTGACATACTCATTTACTCGACGTTCCACGCCATGGTTGGACCGACATTGGGCCGACATTACCCGTTAGTGTCGGCTCAACATTGGCAGCCAGTGCTGACCCGTGAAAAGTCAATCGAGCCAACGTCGACAAATGAGGTTTCGAATAAGGGTCAAAAATAAGGTTCAGGCACAAGGATTTGACACCAATTGCCCATTTGTACCTGTGCAGCCCATAATCTTCCCAGGTATCTCATCAGAGCAGCACTTGGAGCAGAATATCTGTCCGCATACACGACAGTGATGTCGTCTACGGAAGGTGGTGAACCTCTCCGTGCACTCGTAGCACTGCTTTGCAACACTGTCAGGCATCCAGAAGCTGCGCAGCTGGGAGTCCTTGTAGGACTTCAAGCTGCTGCTTTTGGAGGCCACGATATTGCTGATGCGTTTCAGCACATTTGGAAGACTCCGGCCCTCGGTTGCATCGAGGGGGAACGACATCTGCGTGGAGGTGTCGTCCTCAGGGGTCTTTTCCAGACTATCTAATTGCTTCCAGGATTCTGAGTCTCCTGACGAGCTGCGGTCTTCGTCTTTCGGGGAGACCGCGGGGGTCTCACTCCCTGTTGCGGCTATAATAGGGAACTTTCATGGAACTCAATTTTCCTAATTTCCCTATTGACCCTGTCTACATAATCCATAGGTAGCTGAACGAATAGAATTGTGGAGAAATATTGCCTAGATGTTTTATAATAATTGATTGAAAATTTTCAACGTTTTTGAATCCTTCCCGCGGAACTGGGGGGACTCAAAGATGGCGGTGCCTCCATCTCGCGTTTTTGAACATTTTTAAAAAATATTTATACTTTTCAGATTATCCTCAACTCACTCCATCCGGTTTCTATAGAATGAACAAATTTTTTTAGCCACCTTTCAGATTTTTCCATTCTCTTTTGGCGGAGAATTCATGACGCAAAATCCCCACCCCCCTTTCAGTAGTTTTCTTTTTTTCATTTCCGAGAGCTCTTAGAAATTTTTCATGTACGTAAACACGTGAGTTTATTAATTCTTGAGAACAATATTGTCCAAAACAAGTAGAAAATTTCCGATTTTAAAAAAGTAAAAAAAAAATTTTTTCAATTTTTTTTTCGGAAGCATTATTTTTCCGGGTGCAATTAACAAAATTAATAAATGAAAATTAATACATATAATTAAATTGGAGAATTTCAGAATGTCTTGAAAAAAAACTGTGCAGACGTCTTAAAAAACCGAAAAATCACAATAAAATTCAAATAAATTAACGATAATTGAATAATTAATCACTAAATAAATGAAAATAAAATGAAGCCGACTCCAGAGACTCCAGAGGAGAATAAACAGGTGACAATACACAAATAAATCCACACGACTCACATTTCCCGAAACTGAAGAACTTGGAGAAGAGTGACGCCACAACAGGTTGATTATTCTCAGGACTCAGCGGAGCAAATTCCGTGAGTTTCGTCGGCGAGTTCATGTTTTTATTCATCATCTTCGGGTTTATTATGTACACAAGGTTGGAGCGAATTTTGACAGACCGATCAGCTGATCGCGGACATGGTAACTACCTCCACATGGGCACATGCTCGACGTCGCTCCACCAGGTGGCACCAGGTCGTTTTCATGAGAAAAATAAACCTCACAAAACTAAATTACTAGGATCTCCCGATCAAATGATGCAATTTGGATTCGTCAAAGCTCATTTTAAACCTTGAAAAAATATCTTCAAATTAAAAAAAAAGTCGTTCAATTTCACTCTGCCAATTTTTAGCTATTGCAAATTAAAAACCTTCCATTTTCATAACCTCCATTTTTCCCCTCTCCCTTGACATGACGCTCGTGCATTTGGTTGTATTCGGCATTTGCATGTGTGTGCTGTACTATTCTCAGCAAATTTTGGAGCAGATTAAAAAAAACAAGATGATTCGCTTGTTTTCCGGGTGAACAGCCGGTGAATTATCGCGTATGAGATTCTAAATGTGAGAGTGGACATGGACGAGGAGAATTCTAATCTCCTGAGACTCGTAAAAATGGTCTGTCCTTCCGCGGAGGAGCTCAGTGTCATTGTAAACAACGTCAAGTGTATTCAATGTGGATCGATGTTCAAGAACGAACCGCGGTTACGACTGCACGATTTGAAGGTTCACCAGAGGAAGAATCTCGATAAAACAGTGAAGGAGTGCGTCAGGTACCACTGCCCTGAGCCCTCGTGTGTGTATTCGCCGGAGTCTGCGAGGTATTTCAGTACTATGAAGTATCTGAAGCAGGTAGGAGTATTTTTGTATTATTTTATTGGATATTCGGGACGTATTTCTTCGGAAAAAGAAATTCTTCGAGAAGGGAAGAATTCTCCTTTTTTTTAATTTTTTTCCTACTCGCACGAAAAAATTTGATAAAACCTAGGGCATTCGCTAGAATTCTATTGGATTTCTATATAAGTTTTGGCCGATTCTATTGAAATGTTAAACAGAAAATATTCTATGGAAAAAGTCAATAGAATTGGATTTTTCTATAAAACTTATTCTATTCAGATGTTTTCTCTAGAATTTCCTCAGCTCAAATTTTCCAAGTTTTTTGTTTGATTTTCTTGATGAAAAGGAAATTTTATATTTTTATAACATTTTAAAGTTTATTTTATAGAATAAAGGCTATATGTAGATGTTGATTTTTTTATATAACTCATTCGGTTGAGATTTTTTTCTATGAAAATTCTTGGACATGAATTTTCCAAGATTTTTTCTTGGATTTAATTATGAGCTCTCTTGGATTTAATTTACATCCCAGAATTTCTGTATAAAAATCGAAATCTATTGACTTTTTCCACTGAATATCCCTTTGAAAAATGGCAATGTGAAATTTCAATCACAATCTTCAAGAGAATTATTTAATAAAATTTCAACTGAACTCCAATGAAATTCTTATAGAGTTTCAATAGAAATTGAATAGAATTACTTAGAGAAAGCGCTAAGTTCCTCTATTAATATTTTTCATACGTGATTATCTAGACCACTCATCCAAATTTCCATCAAAACTTCAATTTAATAAATGAAGTTCATTTATCTGTACAATATATTCGGTTTCGATTTTTTTCTGCAAAAATTTTTGGGCATGAATTCGCCTATTTTTTTTTATTCCATTTTTTTTTCTTTAAGAAAATCAAACAAAAAAACTTGGAGAATTGGAGCCGAGGAAATTCTATAGAAAATTCTATAGAATACTTTCTATTCAACACTTCAATAAAATCAGTCCAAAACTAATAGAAAGTTCAGTAAAAATCCAATAGAAAAAAATGTCTAGCGAATTCGCTGGGTTTTCCTACAAAATTTCTTCGCGCATGTAACGTAGATTGTCCTTGCAGCATTATCTCAAAGTCCACGCAGCCAAGAGGTACCCCTGCACCCAGTGCGACAAATCTTTCTCAACAGAGGCTGCAGCAATAGCTCACACGAGGGTGTGTGGACTAGAGTTCACCTGCACTTGTTTGAAGAATTTTAATTCTTATGAGGCTCTCCTCACTCACGCGAAACGACAGTCGCATTCTGTTGACGAGAAATATAAAAATATAGTCAAGTAAGTTCACTCGAGTCGTCATGACATTCAAATAAAAAATAAAAAACTATTTTTTATTTGTTCAAATAAAAAAATTAAAAACTATTCATTAATTCCATTGAAAAAGAATAATACCTAACAAAACAATTTTTCATGTCTTGATAAATGGCGAATTATCTCTACAACGAGTCGATTCAGAGGAAATTTCAAAATCCGTTTCCTGAAGCTGAGAAAATTTTTAAGAAAAATATCCCGTGAACATTTTTTTCCTAAAATTATAATTGAAATAATTACATCTTCAACACAAATCGTTGATTCCACACGTCTCATTATTTATTAAATCATCTGAATAAAGAAGAATTTGAGAAAAGAATTTTGAAATAAACTTTTTTTACTCATTTTTTAAAATTCAAATGACTATGAAATGATCTCTTGATTTTTGTAACAATTAATTTTCAGTGGTAAATGAATTGATGAGCATAAAATAATTGGTGAACTATTCACGATTAATTAATTTACAATTGATGATCAATTTCTCAATGGAACAACTCATTAATTAGTTAATCAACACGTTTACCTTTCGCACCCATCGATTTCCACTAAAAAAATCTGAATAATAATAATTTTATGAGAAAATATAAGGATGAATTTTTTCTCGGAAGCTGGAACGTCTACGAAAAGTTATCTCAATCTTCCAACAATTTACATTCGTTGGTAAATCAACCGATGAACATAAAATAATCAACAAACTATTCATGATTCATCAATTCCCAATTTTTGATCAATTTACCAATCAATTGCCTAAATAGTTAATCAATTAACCCGTTTATTCCTCGAACCCATTGATTTCCGTTAAAAAATTGATTTCCTTTCTTTCCAGACGTCAGGCCCCAAAGCCCTCGCCCATCCCCACAATCCACCTCGTCCCAGTTCTCAAAAAGCCCATCTCAATCCTGCCATACACGCCCCCCCAGCCCCTGGAGTCCCCCCTCCCGAGCACCTCCAACGCGGAGACCCAGACGGACGACCTCCTCCGTCGAGTCCGCAGGACCCTGACCCCCTCGAAGTCCAGCAGACGTCGAGAGTCTCGCCAGACCCAGACCCACGTCCTCTCCAAAGACAGAAAGACCCGGAAAACCGTCGAGACCCAGACGACTCCCAGCATTCGTGAGTCCTCCAAGAAGTCGTCGTCAGGGAAAAAGTCGAGACGAAATCTCCACGTGAAGAACGACTTCACAAATGTGAACTTGTTCCCGAACAGTCCTCTGAACCTCCAGCACGACGTGGCCATCCAGGACTTCTGGGAGGAGCGGAACACCCTGGGGACGCAGACGAGTCCTGGGAAGAACCTGTTGGACGTCTTCAACGACAGCGTCACCCAGACGACCTTCTACCACGAAAACCCAGCGATGGAGAATGTCTTCAAGGACAGGATCTCCTCGGCAGGTGCGTCGTACTCGAGGCTTTTTTATCCCTCGACGAGCCGATTGTCCCGATCAGACCCGATGCTGATGGAGGAGACCTTCGGCGATCGGTTCAGCAGCATTGAGACGCAGACTGAGAAGCCCTACCCCCAGTCCATCTTCGATGCTGACACTGGGAATTTGCTGAGCTCGTCCAACACTGAGACACAGACGACAGAGCATTTCGATAATATCGAGCAGCTTCTGTACAGCAACATGTGCACGCAGACCTGCAATGATATCCTGTCGTCGGAGCTGGGGCTGTCGGATATTCAGACGCAGACTGCCTGGCCCGAGCTGGAGGTCGCGGGGGGCCAGAAGGGGGACGACGAGGGCGAGGGGGAGAAGGGGGATATTTCGATGAATGGGTGCCGGTGGCTGAATATACAGACCAGTCACACGGAGACGCAGACGGATCTGCTCAGTATTTTTGATGAGCTGCAGTAGCTTCAGGGGTGAGATTTTTTTTTAGGGGTTTTTGTTTTTTTATGGGCTGATTTTTTGTTTGAGGGGCGGACGGAGTGCTGGTAAAATGGGAAAATTTAGGTTTAAATTGTTTTAGGGGAGGCTGGGGTAAAATGGACACTTCTTACTTTTTTTCAAATGCTAATAACTTATTGAATTGTTGATGAAATGAAGTAATTTTTTTTTTCAACAAAGAGGACAATTCTTCCTTCTTATGATAAGTCTAGACTAAGCTCAATTGGGGAATATATTTATGAGTTATGAATATTTTTTAAAAAGTCAAGTGTCCATTTTACCCCACCCTCCCCTAAACGGCTCATGACCCATTTTTGGATGGAATATAATGAGCTCTGACTGAACTCAATTGATGACTTTAGTATTGAGTTGGATGTATTTTATGGAAAATGGAAATGTCCATCGGGGAAGTTATTTCAACCTCATCAGAGACTTTCGAATTTTAAAACTGAGATCAAATGAAAAGCTGCCATTTCATTCTGTTGAATTACTAATTGAAGTAGTGCCTATTTTACTTCACTATTTCAATGAATGTAAAATTGTAAATTCGTTTTTTTTTCAATGAAATTAGTAAATATAAATTATTTCGTAATAATTGATTTCAATGATTATTAATTTCAATTTAGTATTCATTTTAATTAAAATGTTGTCTATTCTCCATATTCTATTGGAACTACGTCACTCGATGATTTTAGAATTAATATCCCAATTAGTAATGCCACAATAGTTTTATTCATGATGAAAGCCATAGAAATTATTATTTTGCATAGTGAAAGTTTACGATAGAAAATGAAGCTGAAATTCCGCGTTTATTTTCAATCACCGGAAATCTGTTGTTTAAAAAACGTTGATTTATCAATTTCATTGGATTTTATTGTTCTACTGCTAAATAGCACCATCGAGTTCTATCTAACAAAAGCCACATGTACATTGTTTATCCAATTTTATATTTTTCAGCGACAGTTTAATTTTTTTATTTATCAATTAAAACCGAGCCTGCACTCAGTATTGTCGGATCAGTGAGGCAAAATAGACGTCCTAAGTTAAATGTCTTTAGACCCAATATGAAAGATTTTTAGACGATTTGTTTTTTTCATTTTTAAACATGAAAAAATAGCTCAAAAGGGAAAAAAATGATAATTTTTTTTTTGCTTACTTTTCTACTGAGACAATTTCTATAGAAATTCCTCGAGGTGAACTGTCCACTCTATTCACATTTCTTTTGATTAGAAAAATTAAACAGAAACAGTTGAAAAATTTGAGTCGACGAATTTCTGTTCAATAATTTTCTAACGAATTCGATTGGTTTTTTCATGATTTTTTTTTCGTACGTATCGAGTTATCAAAGATAAAACGTTTTTTGCCCCACTGGGCCCTTCGATCTAGTCGATGCAGTTGTTCAATATCTCCTCCTGACTAGATTCCAACACGTGCGAAAAAATTTCATAGAAAATCCCAGCGCTTTCTCCAAGTTATTCTAGCGAATTTTGATTGGAAATCTATGATAATCCTATTGGAGTTCCATTAGAATTCTGTTATAAAATTCTACTCATTTTTGTGCCAATTTTATTGAAAAATATATTATTGAATTGTATTATTGAAAAATATTATTGTTCGTAGAAAAAAATACACATGTTGATTTTTCATTTTGAACAGCAATTTTCCGTTTTTTCTCTTTGATTTAATTATGAGAAAGAATTGAAAATAAAACGAAAAAAAAATAGGAAAATTTATGCATAACAAATCTGCATCAAAATCTATTGACATTTTTCTATGGAATACCTCTTAACAAAACGTCTAAATAAACGAATTAAATTTTTTAATTGAATTCCAATAGAATTCTTATGGACTTTCAATAAAAATTCAATAAAATTTTCTAAAGAAAGGCGTCAGGTTTTTCTACTAAATATTTTCACACGTGAAAACTCATCGTAATATTGCATTGAAAATAAAAACTGACAGTTTAGTTACGATTATAAAAAGTACAACAAATAAGTTATAAATAATTACACGTTAGATTTAGCTCTAAAACCCTAGGAATTTCAAAACAACAGATGGACGTGTTCGATTTGTAGATTTATTCTGGAGCTTCTGGAAATGTCTTCCACTAGTGCCTCCGGGACGGGTATGGAGGGGATTTTAGCGCACTTTATGTCTAGGTAAATGAAAAATTAGCGTCGATTTATCGGAGTTAGAGGGCCGGGCCAGCGGCGTTGTCCTCGTCAAAGTCTAAGAGAAAGTCTTTGGTTCTGACTTCTATTCTGTCAACGTTCTCCAGGGCTGAGGCGATTACTTTGAGATTGTCCACCCCCGATATCAATTGCCTGTTGAAGAGTATTCATCCAAATTTCCATCAAAACTTCAATTTAATAAATGAATAACACCTGTTGTATTTTTCACTACCTGAGGAGAGTATTAGCAGATGACGCAGCATCCCTCAAGTCCCCTGCTAGTCTCTGTATTTTCTTTTCACTGTTTGACTTGGAATCATTGCAAGTTACGCCCATGGCCCCTCTCAGCTCCCTATTCTCCTCTCGAAGGGCCAGAATTTCCGACTAAAATTTTTCAATTTTTCTTCATTTTTTATTTTCTTTAAACTGACATTGCAGTGGGCCTTAGTAAATTAACAATAGTTAATTGATTCAAATGTCGAATTATTTCACAAATCAGTCATCAACTTCGAAAAATCGACAAGAAATTCACAATTATTTATCTAATGGTCAATCGACAATTTACATTGTTCATTACATTATTAATATTCATCTCTCAATGAAGTTTAGCAAACTTCAATTATTTAAAGAAGAACTTTCTCTAAATATTATGGAAATAATAATAATAATTATTATTATTGCCAATCCTTGTTTATGATTTAATTTAAAATGCGATAATTGGAATTTACCTTCAGTGTTTTCACCTCTTGCTTCAATACTGTAACTGCACTCTCGGCATTCACCGCTCGTCTCTGGTGAAATATTTTACAGAGTTACGATGTTGTCATGAGGTATTCATTAATTTTTATGATTCTACAAACTCACAGTACTGCGCTTCAAATTGTCCTCCACTTGCTCCATCGCTTTCTCCAAGTGCACTGTCTCCTCGTGATCCACTGCTCTTCGGGAGGACAATTCCGCCTCAAGGGCTTGTATCCTACATATAAAAACATAAAATTGGAGAAAGTGCATATACGAAAAAACTTCGTAGAAAAACTGTGCGAATTCCCTGGAAAATTGTAGTAAATTTCTATTGGACTTTCTGTTTTACACAAAAAATTCTATTGATTTCAATCTTCTATAGAAATTCACTAAAATATTTCAACGAAAAAAAAATCAATCAATTTTTTTCAACGAAAAAATCATTAGAATTTTCTTGGTAAATTAACATGAAATTCATTTTTCTACAAAACCTTTTCTATTGAGACATTTTCTACAGGAAATCCTTGACATGAATTTTCCAAGTTTTTTCTCTTGCATTTTTTTTCTTTCCATTGAAAAAATCCATCGAAAAAACAGAAAATTTGAACCGAAGGATTTTTATAGAAAATATTTCAATAGAATAAGTTCTGTAAAAAATGGAATTCTATTGTCCTTTTCTATAGAATATTTTCTATTAAACATTTCAATAGACTCAGTCAAAAACTCTAATCTTGAATAGAAGGTCAATAGAAATCCAATAGAGTTTTCCGATAAACTTGCTCGTTAGTTTCCCTCATCTCATTTACCGTCTGTTTTGTTCATTGTTCTGCCTGCGAGACATTTCTAGGTCGTGCCGGAGGTGGTCGATTTCCAGGAGCAACTGGGGAATTAAAAAATAATCAGATTTGTTGTCGACAATTCAGGAGCGAAACACTTTGGCTCTCAGCTGAGTTGTTGAGGAATATCTCCGAATCTAAGAGAGATAGCGAAATTTTCGTAATCACCTTTTTCGTAGCTCTCAATTCGCCCTACAAAAAAGGTATTCACAAAAATTTTGCTAGCTGCCTTAGATTTCGAGATATTCATTGAAAACTGAAGTGACCTGACCTGAGTTATCGTTTTCAAAGAAAAAAAATTCATGAATTATTTTTTGTGGATTATTCTTATAATTTTGTCAGTAAAGGATCTAATTTCAAAGGTTCACTACTGATTTCGAATGATATGACTTATTTACTCTTCTATCCAGTGGCTCAGTGCGATTTAAAGCGGCCGAGACCTCGGGCTGTGGTGCCACTCTATTTCGTATTGGCCCATCACTCAGAAAATCTGGTAATGAATTTGGTATACTAGCATCGCCAGAGGGTTGAGGAATTCCTGATGGATTGACTGGTCCATTTGGCTCTTGGTTCAGTGGCAGATCTAGTGGAAATGCTTTGGAGAAACGAAAATAATTACAAACTTCAACTTTTTCACAGTTGACTAAATTAACAACAAAAAATGGTCTCACATTTTCCCATTACATAATTAAACTCAATAATAAGCAAAACGTAATTAATTAAATCTCGTATTTTAATTAATGCTGCAATCGTCTCGAGAAAGAGTCATTTGTGAGAGAGAAATGTCGAAGAACCTTATCCATGAATAATTAAATTTTCTACTAATAAATGTCTTCCAACAAATTCTCCTAAAATAACTCATTATCAAGACAAATATCAATTCAACAAGAGATAAAACATAATCATTCAACATTAAACATGTTGCTAATTCTCATATTTCTTAGAACCATTTCTTTAAAAAACAAGTGGAATAAATTCTCAATCATAACTAAATTAATGAATAGAAAACAGAATTAATAAATATTAATTTGACAGCCTCCCGACCAATAGCAGACTTACCCATGGGCTCCAGCATCACCGGTGAGTCCTCGCGAGCCCTCCCAAACCCTGATTCCTCCCCAGTATCGAGTGGCGATGAATTAGGAACAGCGAGATCACGTCTCCTCTTCATCCGGTCGATGCTCCCCGTGAGATCGAACGGCAGATCCCCCCTGTCCGACGATTTTCCCTCGCCCCGATGGCCCATTAATCGTTGCTCAACACTATTGACGGCGAAATGGAGGAGATTGTCGACGTCAGGACGGGCTTGTGCGTCGTGATTCAAATAGCACTGCTCAATGACCAGATGATCTTGAACGAAGTCCGGCAGCTCCGTGGGATTTCTCGTGTAGACACTCTCGTTATCGAGGCCACTGGTCTCACCAGTCTTCCTTCCTGATGAGTAGACTTTAGGCCTTGCGCCGGTGTATTGGTAGTTCGTCTGCGAATCGTTCTTCAGGAAATGTTTGAAGCTGAAGGGATTCCCCTCCGACGCACGTCTCGGGAGATCTGCGATTGATGGGGAATAATTGTCATGGCATGAAGGGAAAAATTTAGGGGAAGTTGGGGTAAAACGGACACTTTTGACTTTTTTTAAATGTTAATGAGGGGTTGAAATGTTGATAAAATTTAATAATTTATTTTCCCAATACAAAAAACAATTCTTCCCCTTTGTGACGAGCCTAAACTGAGCTCAATTGATCAATTTGTTTCTGAGTTATGAATAATTTTAAAAAACTCTAAAGTGTCCATTTTACCCCACCCTCCCCTAATAGAAAAATCTGATGCTTGCTATTGAATTTTTATTGGAACTCTATAATAATGCTGTTGGAGTTCTACTAGAAACGTGTGAAAAATTCAAGAGAAGAATCTCGCGAATTCGTTAGATAATTCTATTGGATTTCTATTGGGTTTTTCATCAGTTTTTGGCTGATTCTATTGCCATGTTCAATAGAAAACATTCAATAGAAAAAGTCAACAGAATTCGATTTTTCTATATAACTTACTCTCATCATATATTTTCTTTAGAATTTGCTCGACTCAAATTTTCCAAGTTTTTTTCATTCTATTTTTCTTTTATTCTCATTAAGAAAATCAAAGAAAAAAACTTGGAAAATTTGAGCCGAGGAAATTCTACAGAAAATATCTCAGGAGAATAAGTTATATAGAATTATTGAATTCTATTGACTTTTTCTGCTGAATATTTGCTATTGAACATTTCAATAGAAATTCAATAGAATTTTCTAACGAATTCGATAGGTTTTTCTATTAAATTTTTTCGTCCGTGATGCAGCTGTCTGAAGGTCGAAGTTAACCAAAACAATGATTTATGAGCGCTCACCGGGGTTTTCATTGTCGTTTCGAATTCTGAAGGTATTTTCACGTGAGGTGTTTGTTGTGTGCTCTCTCGAGGGCTTCGACAACTCCTCGAGGGATGAGGACGACGACGAGGAGGATCGACGTCCCCGTCTGTTCGCCATCGCTCAGCTGATTTGGCTGCTTCAAGAACTTGAACCGATGCTGCTATTTACAAACCTCACACATGCTCGATCAAAATAAACCCTTTCTGACGGGTCACTTCCCTACGTTTGTTCGCCAATTGTCGGTGATTATTGCTGTTTGAGGCTTATCGTGAGTAATCGCGAAACCGGTGTTGCACATGCAGATGTATTTTGAGGTTGGCGTAGATGGAATAACTATTTTTGACGGCGCGTGTACGTGCGCATGCACACAATGCTGGTTCCCCCTTTTACGTGGCAGCTGCGACACAACGAAGGACTTGTATTGCTTGTTCAAGGACACAAAAAAATGCTGGAACTCTCTCGAAATGTTCTATAGAAAAAGTCAATAGAAAGCGATTTTTTTGTTCAACTTATTCTATTAAGATGTTTTCTATAGAATTTCCTCGCCTCAAATTTTCCAAGTTTTGTTTGATTTTCTGGATGAAAATAAAAGGGAAATAGAATGAAGAAAACTATACTTTATTCAATTTCTATTAGAATTCTTTTGAAAAATTCTATTTGTTTTTTGCAGCGCGTCTATTAAAAATTATGGAACTTGGCACTGCTTTCCTGAATTGATAATTTTATAGAATAAGGCTACATATAGATGTTGATTTTTTTATATAACTCATTCGGGTGAGATTTTTTTCTATGAAAATTCTTGGACAGCGAATTACACTTGGAGAATTTATTTCCCAGAATTTCCTACAAAAAAATCGAAACATATTAACTGTCTTCTATCAAATATCTCTTAAAAAACAAAATAAGACAGTAAAATTGTCTAAAATGGAAGGATTACCTAATCTACATAATAAATTCTCAAAAAAATCCTCTCATAAAATCACGTATTTTTATTAATCCATAATATTAACCATTCGGTAAAGTGACATGTTAATTACATCTGTACTCGTTAATGACATTAATAACGGAGCGGATGATAAAAAATAAACAATTTCAGCAGATTCACGTGGGCCCCACAGACACTCCCCGAGTCCCACTAAATACAATTCACCCTGCCATCCATGCAAAGACAGCATCAATTAATATTAACAATTCGCGAGGAAAACAAATAGTAAATGTAAAAAATAGGGATTTTCTTTTGGTTCTCAAGAAAAAAAGAGCTTTCACATTCTCATGGAAGTTGCACCCTCGACTCATTACTCCATATACAGTCCCCGTGGACCAGTCATAATCACCGAAACATCTTCATGCTCTTCCTCCACTCAATTAGTTGCCAATCGTAGGAAAGAAACAGAAAAATCGAATGAGTAAATCTGTTATTTCCATGTATATCGCATTTATCACGAAATCGCATTGCCCTTTATCGAGACATAAACCTATGCATTTAATATTTCTCATGCATTTTTGCCTCCTCCTTGCAACAGCGATTAATAATAAATTCATGAAAGAATAATTCTAAAATTGGTTATACGACATCAATGATAAAATCAATATTTTCCCTTGTTCTTTCATTAAATTGTATGTGTCGCGTTCTCTTTCATGCTCAACGTCATTGCAATTGCTTCGTTGTGGATGGTTTACTCCTACAATGGACCCTCTATTAGACTAATTTTCAGTGTACAGTAGTAGATGCTCCTCCCGAGGCACAACAGAGCCACTAAGAATGCACCTGTTGGTGAGAATATCGTGTTAATCTGCTTGATTGGATTGTGGAGATTGGGATGAGGAGACTTACCGACATATGCCACGTAAATGCCACCGTTGGTGCCTACTAGGGAGTATGTGCCAGCCTTGGAGGAGAATTTTTAATTAATCTCTTGAATTTTCTGCGATCACTCAAAAAATTGTCATGACAAATGGAAACTTTGCAATGATTTCAAGTTGTGTTTCCATTTTTTTGTTTGAGCAACTAAATGTGGTCTGCATTGGGGTCTTTTTATCATGAATTTTGCCATGAATATAGATGTTAATAAGCTCTATTCATTGCCACCAATTAAAATTCAAATTTTCATGGAGATTCTAATTACCAAAAATATTGAATTGAACTCATTACTTCTCGTTGAATATGCAATTATCTATGAGGAATGATTTTAGAAGAAAATTTCACGAAACATTGATGAAAATATCAGCAACTGAGGCGTGCATTATCTTTCGAACGTGTTCTCAATTGTTTTATTTTTTAATTGATAATTTTTAGCGACTCCTGCGTGACATAAAATCCACTGGAAATTGTGAGATATTTTAGATTATGAAGATGGAAAAACAATCGAGATGACGTTGAAAAGATAATCCCTCCGGATCTTAATGGAAAGATCGAAATAATTTAATTGAATAGAGAAAGGAAGAATAGAATATTACGTACAGTCACAGCGATTCCAATCACGAGTGCAATGATTCCGATAGTAATGAACATGATGCCCCGTCCTTTAGCAAAATCTGGCCCTACGGAAGACACTTTGCGACAATGGGGACATCGAGCCAACGCATTGTTGAGAGTATTGAACTGCAACAAAGTCACACGAACAATGAGGACTCTTATCGAGGGATGAGCAATGCGATGGTTTTTCGTTGCTATTGACTCACCAGGAAAGTGTCGTGACAGTGGGCACAGCAGACCCTGCACATTCCTGGCATTGACAGGACTGGTGGTGTGACAGGACTAGGCGCAAGATTAATTATGCGTTTGCAATTGGGCCTGGGACAGGCAATTCTCTGTGATGAACTCTTGCAGATCAAGAGACAGTTGCAGGGGCATCGCACGTATTTCTTTCCCGGTGGAGCATTCCTTATTGGCTATTAGAAAGATAATTAATTGAATTAATTGCTAAATTAATTACTAAATATGTGCATTCTTAATTTTTTTTAGAAATTTTCTTATAAGGGATCGATCGAGTTTCATGAATTTTTTCATGAATGTAGACGTTAATAAGCTTTATTCATTGACATCAATTAAGATTCAATTTTTCATGCAGATTCGAAAAACTGATATTTTTCCTAAAATCGATTTTTCAACGATCACTCAAAAAATTGTCATCAAAATGGAATTAGTCATGGCTCAAATTTGATAACAATACCCTCTTGATTCTATCAGAATATGATGGGGGTCGCGCAATTCGTTGTGGAGTTACAGCACATTGTTTATGCGATTTGAAAGAGAAAATCGGTTTTTTCATGATTAGTGAAGGAATCATCAGTAATAGCAATTAAATCAGGGCTTGGAAAGTATATTTCAATGGCTTCTTAATGAAGTTGAAAAATGGTGAGAACAGCATCATTGTTTATCAAGTTACACAATACCGTCATGAGCTTTTTATATCAAAATCTCTGTCTCTATTAAACTCAGGTACCAGTCTATTATGTTAAATACTCATTCATATTGATTCATGGTCCCGACAAACTTCTGCCAGAACCTGGGTTAAACTCTGGCTAAATCCTGAATAAACCCTGATTAAACCTTGATTGAACCTTGACTAAACCCGGACTGAAAACGAATTCGAGTCTTGAGAGGGTCTGAATGTCGAATCATTTGACAGAACGAAATAATGCGCAAAATTTTGATGACACTCCAATTGACGACAGTACTATGACATGAAAAAATAAAAGACAATAGTGAAATAAGAATTTTAAAGAAGAAAATCCATGAATCCAAATCGTGTCATCAGTCCAGGAGCTGTTGCAGTCCCAAAACCCCCTTGACCCCCTCAGCATCTCCCACGACTCCACCCCTAAAACTCCCTAAACCAAAGCAATCATTACCGTAGCTTCATTGCACTGACTGCACTTGACGACATGCTGATCCCTTTTACCGGAAATATCAATCATAGCCTGGCAGACTCTGCAGGTGACCATGGGCATGCCACTCTGATTAGCTGACTGATAGGGTGGGGGCACCTCATCAGGACCAATTGGCGATACTGTGTTGACATTAGATTGTGTACCGTCTCCACCAACAGAAGAAAATCAATCGTAAGACTTGAATGAACGAAATCCCGAGTCACCCTTAATTATCATTGACTTACCGATGACATCGCTGCTGTGGGAGCTGTACGTGACACTATCATTCTTGAGGAGTGGTTGGCGCTCGGCCTCTTTACCATCACCCATTGTGTTAAACAAAAGGGCTCGATGATTCACTCTGTCTCGATCAACAATAAATTCAGCCGAGATGTTCTACCCAAGAGGGTGAATTAGCCCTGATCGAGCTGGTGCAATCGACTTCACCAGGTTATTTATTAATTTTCGGTGGCTACACAGCCCTGGAAATTTAGTCTACCCTCGTCGCCATCACGATTCTTGTTTTCTCACTACTGTCAAAAAGTGAATATTTTTTGGATGTATTTACAATCGTCTACCCCGTGAAGATGGGAAGAATGGGACAGTGACATCTGGGGATTTTTCGATTGGTGACTCGGTTGATAAGTCAGTGGAATTTCTTTGTTTTCTTAATTATTGGGGGGGGGNGGGGGGGGAGATTTGCGAGGATATTTTTTGTAAAGGCAAAGGAGAGCTATCGAAAATTCTATCATGAGATTTTTTACATCTCGTCTACATCATCAGATATTTATCGATAAGTCAACCTGAAAATCAATTCATTACTAGCTTTTGAGGCTGATTTGGGAAATGGTTTTTTGAAAATATCTTGAAAGAGAAGGAAGATATGAAAAAATATATTCGGACCTTTTTTGTACCGCTCATTTGGCTCTACAAAAAAGGTTCTAATGTTTTTTTTATATCTCCTCTCGATCCCCAGATATTTATCGATAACGCAACCTGAACATGAATTTCATTACCAATTTATTGAGGCTGATTTAGAGGGCCTTTTTTGAAAATATCTTGAAAGAGAATGAAGATATCGAAAAACTCATCAGAACCTTTTTTGTACCTCTCAGTCTCCTCCACAAAAAAGGTCTTTACAAAAATTTCTCTATCTCCCTTCAATTTCGCAATATTCAACAAAAACAATCAAACCAACTCATCCCATTCCACACCCCCACCAAATTCAGAAGAAGATGCGAGCGCCAAGCGCTCATCTCGATCAAAAATTTCCCCTCGACGTGTAATCTAGTGTCTCTACTTCCGCGTCGGAAGCTCCAGTGATCCCCGCATTGCGCGAGCCAGTCCTGAATTACGTTCACCCAAGAAAACAAATAGTAGTCGAATACCAATAATTTTTCAAGTCCAGTGAGTTGTCCTGTGGTTCATCAAGAAGAATTTCTCCATCAGGAAATTGAGTAACATTCGAGGGAGCCCTCAGAGCCGGTGAACAAACGTAAGTCCACGAATACACCCTCACTCTCTTCGCATCGATTCCCGTTACTTCCAGAATGTACTTGATGACGCATCAATTTGGCACGTAACAATAACTAGTGTCATATCATAGAGAAATATCGTCTGAAGAAATTTATCAAGTTGTGTCGTATCAAGTTGTGTCGTAGGTCATTTCATTTCGTAATTCTAAGGAGGAGCGCCATTTTATAATTGGTTGTTGTCGGTTGATGAAATTAATGTTCGACGCTGTTTGCCTTGTGGAGGACGCGATCAACAATGCCAGTGGGCTTGAGATAATTAATTTATTACCGGTGCATTGCTCTTTTTCACGACACATTATCTTCTAGAATCATTTTTTGTGGTGTGATAGCTGCACAAGAGGTTCTATGGGATTTTTTTTTCTATTGAGAGATATCTTTTGAATAGGGGAGACTGTTTTTTATCAGGATTGTTATTTCGTAATTGTAATGAGTAGCCATTTTATCATTCAGCTACTGGTCGATAAAATTAATTTTGGATTTTTGTTTTTTCTCGTGAAGGACGTGATTGACAATCCCAGTGGGCTTGGGATAATTAATTTATTGTCGATGGATTGGTTTTTTTAACAAGGAATTATTTTTAAGAATATTGCACTGTTTTCTAGAATTTTTTTGAAAAGTGTAGAATAATTTTTTTTATCAGAATTGTCATTTGTTAAAATTAACGTTGAGTCCCTTTGTTTCATGAAGGACGTGATTGACAATCTCAATGGGCTTATGATAATTAATTTATTATCGTTTGGTCGTTCTTTTTCACGATGCATCATCTTCTAGAATCATTTTTGGTGATATGATAGCTACACAAGAGTTTCTTATCGGAATTTTTTTCTATTGAGAGATATTTTTTGAACAGTGGAAACTGTTTTTTATCAGGATTGTTATTCCGTAATTGTAATGAGTAGCCATTTTATCATTCAGCTACTGGTCGATAAAATTAACTTTGGATTTTTGTTTTTTCTCGTGAAGGACGTGATTGACAATCCCAGTTAGCTTGAGATAATTAATTTATTGTCGATGGACTGTTCTTTTTAACCGGACATCAATTTCTAGAATATTTTTTTGTCTAGAGCTTTTTTTTAATTGACAGATATTTTTTGAAAAGTGTAGAGTAATTTTTTTTTATCAGGATTATCGTTTTTGTTAAAATTAAGAAGAACGTAATTGACAATCTCATTGAGCTTCACATAATTAATTCATCATCGATAGATTTTTCTTTTTCGCGATGCATTTTTTACTAGAATACCTATTGTCCATAATATTTTTCTGTGAAGTGATAGCTGCACAAAAGGCCCTTGCGAGACTTCTTTTCTATTGAGAGATATTTGTTTTCTCCGCCGGGGGGAGGGGTACAAAGATGCTCTCAAGCCCTGTGCGTAATCTTACGCAATCGGGTCCCTCATTCGCACGATTAACCGCAGCTAAAAAAATCGATAATCAAATATTTTATGCAACAGACTCGTGTGAGACTGCGTGAGTATTCGAGTCGAGGTAGGATTAACAGTCGAGTAAAAAACCATGCGAATGGAGTGGGAAAGGATCAAACGTCGGATGTCGATCGTGGAAATAATGAATGAAAACCGTCTGCAGATGTTGGGGAGAGGAGGATTAAATGAGCTTTTTTCAGTCATCAATAGCTCAAGATTGGCAGAGTGGAGCTCAATTTTTTTATTATTTTGAAGCCTGAAAAAACATCTTTGAAATGAGACTTGATTCATCCCAATCGCTTCGTTCATTCGGGGGTTATCAATGATTTAAGAAGACCTAGTTGATTTCTAGGTTCTAAAGTTCAATTTGACAATCTCAATTACTTTTTTTATTTGCAATTCCTCGGGAATTCCTGGAGCACAAAGGGCTTTCCTACCCTTTTATCTCGAGTGAAATTCTCCTGATTTTCCTCTAATATTATTATTAGATTGAATTCAATTTTTCCGCTTAAATTCAATTTTAATTTGCTAAATGACAACAGTGAGCTCTACATAATTGATAAACCCTCAAAAGAATGACGTCGCTGCTGAAACCGGACGTGTAATAAGAGAATCGTATCAGTACGGAAGTGATAAAAATAGCGACAGAAAAAACATGTGGATTACTTTTTATTTCGTTGGAATTTGAATTACCCTGGTAACGAGTGACTTCAGAAGAAAATGTCACGAGATATTTCGGTTCCCCATAGGCAGATGGACGGCTCAGAATTGTGTTTTTCCACTTCCTACACCCTATACCGGATAAATTAAATTAATTTTTTTTTGCGATTTCGTTTTT